TTTTGTTTAATTGTCAAAATTTTCGAGTCATGAATTTTCGAAATTTTGGACTTTTAATTGTAGACCAATAGTCAGTAGCTTATAAGTCCGAAAATATTGAGTTTAGGAAAAAGTTGTCAAAGAATGAAAGTTTTTGTTTTCTTTCGACTTTTAAGAAATGTTAACAAAAATTTTTTTTTTAATTTTTTATTAACCCCTTGGCTGTCAACGAGATTTCCACTGTTTGGGCCAAAAGTGTGTTGAAAAAATTTCTAATGGATTTTTATGAAACTTGGTACCCTAAGGTTTCTGGGGTCGCTGATTACGAATCTGACATCAGTTTTTCGAAATTCGAAATGGTGGATCCAAGATGGCGGAAATTTTTTTCAAAATTCGTCGAATTTGCTTGAAACTTGTTACTCGGGGGTTTTAAGGGTCGCTGATTACGAATCGAACATTAGTTTTCCAAAATTCAAAATGGCGAATCCAATATGCCAAACAACGAAATAAAAAATTGATCAGATTGTCTTGAAACTGAATACTTGGTGATTTTCAGGGTGGCTGATTACGAATCTGAAATCAGTTTTTCAAAATTCAAAATATCTGGTTCAATATGGCGGAAAACTTTTTAAAATTTATTGAATTTGTTTGAAGCTGGTTAATCTGACATATGTATGATAATTTTTAGTGAAATAAAATTTCGATAAATACCCTGAATAAATAATGCCAGATTCGTAATCAGCAACCCTAAAAACCCCCGAGTATTCAGTTTCAAGCCATTATAATTAATTTTTTATTTTGTCGTCGGCCATATTGGATCCGCCATTTTGAATTTTGGAAGACTAGTGTTAGATTCGTAATCAGCGACCCTTAAAATCCCCGAGTAACAAGTTTCAAGCAAATTCGACGAATTTTGAAAAAATTTCTGACATCCTGGATCCGCGATTTTGAATTTCGAAAAACTGATGTCAGATTCGTAATCAGCGACCCCAAAAACCCCCGAGTACTACGTTTCAAGTCAATCTGATCAATTTTTTTATTTTGTTGTCCGCCATATTGGATCCGCCATTTTGAATTTTGGAAAACGAATGTCATATTCGTATTTAGCGACCTCGAAAACCGCCGAGTAACCGGTTTCAGGAACATTTTAGAAGTTTTTAATCACCTTTTTTAAGTTGCGCATATATGCGTCATGAACCACTTTTGGCCAGTTTAATTTTGCGCATAAATATATGCGTCAGCGACAGTCAACGGGTTAAAAAAAAAATTTTTTATAAACAAATTAATTCTTTTTTAACTTTGGGCCGAATTTTTTTTTATTTTTTTTAAATTTATTTATACCTTATAATATAAAGAAGATTTTCCAAAAAGTCCCGAATTGTGCCTGATGTGTTAAATGAGTTTTAAAACATTTTCAAAAATCACTTGCAAGCATCACAGTGGGATTTTTGAAAATGTTTTAAAACTCATTTTACACATCAGGCCCATTTCGGGACTTTTTGGAAAATCTTCTCTATATTATAAGGTATAAATAAATTTTAAAAAAATCCGGCCCTAAGTTTTAAAAAAATTAATTTGTTTAGGAAAAAGATTTTTTTTTTAATAAAAAATTTAAAAAAATTTTTTTTTACATTTCTTAAAAGTTGAAAGAAAACTAAAACTTTCATTTTTTGACAACTTTTTCCTAAACTCAATATTTTCGGACTTGTAAGCTACTGAATATAGGTCTACAATTAAAAGTCCAAAATTTCGAAAATTCATAAACTGGTAAATTTTGACAATTAAACAAAAATAAAAAATTACCTATCTGTTTTTTTCGATACAGAATAGAAAAAAAATATTTTTGGCCGATTTTAAGTGGTCGACTTAAATCTCACGTGGAATTGCCCATATTTTGAATAAAAATTACTATTTTTCTTCAACAAGAAATGATTTGGATGACATAACCTCCAATTTGACAACCGTTTTTATCAATAGAAGGATTCCATTCTTATTATTTTAAATATTCTTTAAATTGTTTAAAATATATTAAAATTGGAATGTTTTGAATAATTTGTTTAACCAGAATAACAATGGATCAAGTTTATTTTAAATTATCTTTTTTCTTTTGGTTCAATTTTTTACAAATAATCTTCCTACATTGTTTAAAATGTCAAAAATTTAAATGCGTTTAATAATTAATTTAGTAATGTTGACAATAAGCAAAGTTTATTTTTACTTATCTTTTTCTTGGGGCAACCCGGCCTGGCCACGACCGGGGCCATTAAAATTTATGAAGAATGAGAATATATGTGGGCGATTAAATTTAAAATGTCATTTTCATGTCCTGACCAAAAATCTGGAATACTAGTTCATATATAAATGTTTTTGAAGTCAATTAATTTTTTTAATCACTTCTTTTACTTAAATTAATAATTCTTAGTCGCTAGAAATTTTCTAAAAAAATTTGGCAAAAGAATTAGAAGCAAAATGTCAGTGGTGTCCCTTGTCCGCACTTAAGAAATCAGAACTTCACCTAATAATAAAAATTGTTGATTCTCACATTTTTAGTACCAGAAAAATTATTTTGTACAGCTAAGAGTCTATATTTTTATATAGAGTAGAGGGGGTAATGTAGTGCACTGGCTTTACTGACTAAACGAATGAATTGAATTACTTGCCGTTGGTATGGTAGGGTTAAGGTATCAAATTATAGTAATGTATATCATTTTGGCTTTATTGTGCTTCTTCTAAAAGAAGTTGTGGCACTCACTTCAAAAATACTAGATTTCGAAACCATATTTACGTTTTTTTAGTGGCTTGAAGAAAATGTAAGGCTCGTTAAAAAAGTATCAGGTAAGTGCTTTTTCCATGTAAAATTTACTTCTGAACACAAATTTAGTATTGTTTTGACGTTTAATTTTGTTTTTATTGAGATATTGAAGTCAACGTGAAAAAAGTGCTTAGGGCATTGTAGTGTACGGGGTTGGGGGCAATGTAGTGCAATTATACAGAGTACCGTAAGTATGTATTATTTAACCATGTTTGCTTTTTGCAAATTTTTGCAATTTTCTTTCAGTTTTATCTAACACAGGACCAAAGAAATCTCTAGACGCGGATATCTCTTGTCTATCATCTGCGAATCTATTTAAAGACGCGGATTTCTCTCGCCTATCATTGATTTTTCAATGATAGAATTTTTTTGCAGAATGCTATTTTCTAATAGTTGCTGCATTTTTAAATAATTATAATTTATAAATAATAAATTATTTATTATTTACTTGAATTATTAAAAATAAATAATTAAACAAATAAATATATTAAACAAAAATTATAAACATTAATTTTTTATTATTATTATTTAATTAAAAAAAATTTATTTAAAAAAATTTTTTTCTCTTGGTTGCCAATATTCGGCCAATATTGGACCAATATTGACAACCGATGATTGGCGATGCCGTTACATCCCAAGCATCAGCCCATATTGGTCCAATATTGGGAGCCTTTATTGGACCGATGATCGGTCTCTTGGCTCCCAATATTGGACCGATATTGGACCGGTGAGAAATTTCTTACTGGGTCGTCTCCGTTTCTACATGCAAAGTCTCGTCTCGTGGGCATCACTACTTGTTTATAGTTTTTTAAGTTTCTTATGTTCCTACTATCATATCTAATAAAATAAAATCGTTCATAATATATTCTCTGCTTTTTATTTTACTAATAAAGTGGTGCACTACATTGCCCCACAAATTTTAGAATGTCGAAAAAAGTGCCTTTAGTTTTTTGGAAATAGAAAAGCTCCATCTACATCTACAAAAAAATAATGTACACCGTAAATGTAGCTGGAAGCATTATCTTTCCAACGAGTCCTTATTGATCAAAATTAATTGAAAATTGGGATTACAGGAGTCTTCGAAAGAAAAGTGCACTACATTACCCCCTTCTACTCTAGTAATTGTGCTAGCAGAATAATTTTGATCCAGTGCTAGAAAAAAAATCAAAATCGCCTGTCCGTAAGTTTCATATTTTTAAGTAATTATCGCAAATTTTGAATATCATGCCTGATATTTAAATAACCTAGTGCAGATAATTGCCTTATTAAGCGTTAATAGTATTGGTGATATGTATAGCTTCTTAAAGAAAAAACATTACAACATTCTATCACATCTATAACTTGTACGGTTGGTGGCAGAAAGCAAGTAACACTTTGTCGAGCACACCATGTCAGTGGTTTCCCCATCAAAAAATTGTTCATAATATTAATATTTTTTAAATATTATTGTATCTCATTTTCAGTTATTACACGTACTTTAAAAACCGCAACGACTTTAACTTAAAAATAAAGTCTTTCTTTTTCGAAAATGAGAAATAAAGCAAAATGTCAGTGGTGTCCCATCAAAATTCTGTTTCTTGCATCTTATTATTTTATTTTTAATAAATTTGTGTTAAATTTACTCCTTATATGCAGTTAATGAAGATTTGATACTGGATTGTAATTTATAAGCTGATTTTATTCTCACTATTCAAAAAAAATTATCAGTGAAATCTTTCAAAAATGTCAGTGGTGTCCCACAATGTTCATATGTCTTTTTGGTCTTCAAAAGTATATTAATTTATGGCAGAACTCATTACAAATATTTTTTAAGTCATGTTGAAACATTCATTATTATAATTTGAAATATTTTAACTTTTTAAAGTTGTAAAAATTTATTTCAGAAAAGAATAAACGAAAACAGAAAATTTCTTATTATTTCTGCCTATCGTTTTTCACCTGGTGAAAATTAAAATTTGCTTCCACCTGCTCGACCACTATTATTTTTGTCCATCATATATTCTAGTCAACCAAAATAGAGTATCGTTAAGTTCAAAATCCAACATCGAAAAATCAAAGTTAGTAGGATCAAAAATGACATTTTAAATCATTATAATTTATAATTTATTCTAACACTTGTTAATGATTAGACTTAATACGCCTGAGTATAAAATTATCAATGTAAAGTGCAAGTAAAGAAATACAAACGTGAATTTTATGCAGCACTTACCAAAATGAAGTGCATAAAAGCCATTCCCGCTAAAAGACCTTGACAGATAAAGCCAGTGCACTTCCAGACCTTCTGAACCACGATCGCAACTCTTATTGGATGAGAATAGGATTCCGCTGATTTTTCAACTTTTTTCTTACTCGTAGAACGACCGCGTGTTATCTTCATAGCACTAAACCCATTTCTACCTTGAACATAGATCGTATCCGACTTTAGTTCAGTTAAGGGGATCGGCTCCTCGTACTTGGTCCGATTATTCTCCTGAGCCTTCTTCAATATTTCTGCGATGGGAAGTTCGACCTTTTCGCCCTCACCTATTGGAAAATAACTTTTCCTTTAAAACCCATAACATATTTCAATCTTAAAATTTCAATCCTAATATTCTCCAAAGATTTAGAATATCATTTCGGTGAATATAATATATGTACTTCTATCTGCACTCTATACGCTAATTTATCTCATATAGCTTTAGATTATATAAAAATGTCGAAATATTTTACGAAACGCAAAAATATTTTCTAAACAAAAACTCTATAAGTTTTTCTAAATATGAAAAAATATATGAATAGTCTCGATTGAAAAATTTTCTATTTTTCTAAGAAAACCTATTCTTCTTCGACAACAACAATATTAAACCATTAATACCATTGAGCATACTGTTAAACACAGACGCAAACCAACTATTGGAATGAGGGCATTAGGTCGCAATCGTAAAGAAAAACATTTAAAATAATTTGCTTAATTTGTTTAAACAATTATTTTTGTTTATTTATAATTTTAAAAACATGAAAATTCTATTTTTTCTCGCAGTTGAATAAACATAATTATTATTGACTAGCTTTCGTGCCCGCCTTCGGCGGGCTCGAAATCTAGTGTCGCCTGCCTAATAGTATTTTTTTTAAATAATAAACATTTATTTAAACATTGTCTTTAATATAGGTTTGTGAACCTCTTAACCCTTTGAGGACCAGTGTTGCTTTCAGGCAACATGAACATTTTTTTATTAACTTGTGCATAAATTTTTTAATTTTCAAAACTGAATATTGAAACAATAATTTTCACATAGTCTGAAAAATTTCGTTTGACAGACATTGGTCTTCAAATAAAAAACTTCAATAACTGTCCCTAAAAAGTTTCCTTAAAAATAAAAAATCGCGATTTTTTAAGAAAGAATTTGGTCCTCAAAGGGTTAATTAAAATTTTAATTTTTCCGTCATGAAATGTTATCCAACTTCCGAAAGTTTTTAGAAATGAAAGCAAAATCAACAGAAAAATATTTATTGTCTTCAGACAAAGATAATAATGATTTGTTCAACACATTTTTTAGTAATTTTTAAAATAGGTGTCCACCTTGGGATAACTTTTTAAGATCAAAATTTGAACAATTCGAATAAGAAATATGTCAAACGTTAAAACAATAACTCTATTAAAAATGTTCTTATAATGTCCAAAAGATACCTATTATATTGTACTTTCATTCAACATACATTTCAAAAAATATTTTATATATACAGTTCGAATTGTAGAAAATTAAATCGAAACCGTGACCAACGTGGGGCCCTTTTATTTATAGTATTATTAATATTATATTATTATTACCAATATTAATAATGAAACTTAAAAAAAAATTGTTTGATATAATTAAATGTTTTATTTGTCTATTATCTATTATATAGTTATTTTTACCAAATACGATCTACTAAGATCAAATAAATTGAATAATTCGATCTAATAAATATTGGTTTAAATCAATTATGAAGATTGCTTAATTCAATAATTCACGTTCTTTTAATTAAAATATTTATTTGCATGAATAACATAATTTTTTTGAAATAACTACATACAGTGCCGCTCAATAACTTTTGCTCACCCTACAGCGATTGAAGGCTTTACAAAAAGTTTTGTATTTTGTTTATTATTAAAGATAAAAAGCTCAAAAAGGTCTCTTTCTAAAGCTCTTTTCCTGAGCTTTAACACTGTATAAAACGAAAATTAAAAAAATTAATTTGTTAATGTTTAAAAAATGTTATTGCAACATAAAATTTTTCGTTTTTTTAAAGTGATACAGTTTCATAGGAAATGGTCGCATATTGATCAAACACATATTTTCTAAAAGCTAGTTTTATCACCTTTAAAATGCATGTTTTAAAATTTTTATATGATAATTTCTAAGAAAAATATGATTTTCTGTTTAAAAAATTAGCCATTTTTTTCAATTGGTGATAACTTAAAAACGGTTACTTTAGAAAAAAATTTTAAGGACATAAATTGTTCCTTTTTGTGTGCAGAATTAGAAAAAAAATATTAAAAATTTTTTTGACTTTTTTTGAAAAATTTTTTTTTTTTCATTTTTTATATTTTTATGTTTTAATTGTAGAAACTCGCTTTTTACACTCACTTGTGACAATTGTCACAAGACTGACATTATGATGACAATCGTCAAAGTAATTATGAACCTTTAATCCGTTTACAAACAATATATTAAATAAGTATTATATCAAAAGTTATTTAAATGATTGGTGAGTTGAAATTATTGAAAAAAATTAAATAAATACTTTAAAAAAACGAAAAAAACGAAAAATTTTATGTTGCAATAACATTTTTGAAATATTAACAAATTAATTTTTTTAATTTTTGTTTTATACAGTGTTAAAGCTCAGGAAAAGAGCTTTAAAAAGAGACCTTTTTGAGCTTTTTATCTTTAATAATAAACAAAATACAAAACTTTTTGTAAAGCCTTCAATCGCTGTAGGGTGGGCAAAAGTTATTGAGCGGCACTGTATTTATTTCTATCAAATATTCAATTATTAATCATAAATAATTATTGTAATTGAGACTAATATCCCTTTAATTTGTTTCAAATAATTATTGGAATAATTCAGGTACTTCTGGATAGTTTATTACTATTGTGACATTTATTAATTTTTCACAATGTTTCAACACCAACGTTGGTATTTGAAATTATTTATTCCAATAATATAAATGTTTTTAGTTTTTACTCTGGAGTAACTGGACTAATTTTAGTCAAATTTAATAAAATAATTAATTATTTATCCTACATGCTTTTAAGGACTCATATGCTTGGAAATATTAACATGAAATTCTTACAATAATAAATTAAAATTTGAAACCTACGGGGATCGAAACCCAGTCGGACTTACCTAATCTAAGACCTATAACCGAAGACCCCTAACTCTGCTGTACTAAGGAAATAGGGAAAACAAACTACATCGTCAACGGAACTGACTTATTTTATCTAAATATTTTTTTATTTGTTTTTATTAAATCGGGCTTGAGAGATAGATAGAGAATTTTATTACGAAGATTTAGAAAAAAAGATAATTCGCTTTGGTCAAAAATTGTGACCTGTAGAGTGATTTGAAACGAAAAAGTAAATTTTTCGCCACTGCACTGTGTGCCATCTGTCTGCCTACTTAGCTCTGATAGTAGTTAAGAAGATCCCTCCACAAATGCACTTCCCTCCACAACTTCGTGGAGGAAAGTGCATTAAGCAGATGATAATATTATAATAATTAGTGAAAATTATTTTTTTGATTGTTGAAAACTGAAGTAAGTATATGATAAGTTATAAATTAAGGATGGGTTTCAAGGGTAGGAGGTGTTATTTTTATACTTATCCATATCTGTAAAACTTTGAAATACCATTTTACAATTCAGAAGCACTTAGAATCCATTTAATTTTTTTTATTCATTCACAAAAACTTTTATCATTAAGGGGTGATTATTTGACTTTAGGGTTGTTTATATATTTAATATTGATACTTACTTATCATAGAAATATTTTTTCATATTTTTAAAAAGTATAAAATCGGTGAAAATTGTTTTTTTTATTTGCTCCAAACTAAGAAAAGTTATGAATTAGGGGTGGGCTTCAAGGGTAGGGGATAACCTTCACCGTAAATGAGTGGTTATTTGACATTGTAGGTGGTTTTCAAGGTGTTATTGATCATTGTCTTCAATTTTTAAACATCCAGGAAATGTTTATAAATAATATTATTAAATAGATAGGAGCTGAAAAATATTGAATTCATCAATTAGGTTAAATATAAATTTTTTGGGGTAGTAATGTACCTTGGAGGCTAGTGTTGAGGGGTGAAACATTTAAAAAAACATTTTTTCTCACATTGAATACTTTAGTAAAAGAAAACTCGGTCATTAAAAGGTTAAATATTACTTTTAATTGAGGTTCTGACAGTAAAAGTGGTTTATAATAACAATCGGATCAAAATTAGGATAAATGATTTGGAAGCAAAAACGGGTTAAAATGATGAATTCATCGATAAGTTTATATTATACTGATGATTAGAAAATATTTATTATAATAAAATAAGTTTTTTTCACTATCGCTAATATTTTTTAATCATTTAATACAATTAATTTATTAACAAATTTTACAATCATTTTAACCCTTTTTTTGCTCCCAAGTGACTTAGTTCACATTTAATCCCATTGTTATTACAGACCTTTATTACTATCAGCCCCTCAATTAGATCTATGAATTTGATTCTTATTTTTAAAAATATCCAATTACTATTTTTATTTAAGAAAAATAAAAAACTTGATAAAATGAGGATGTTTACGACAGAATTTTAGTGAATGAGAATTTTTATACTTTAGATATTTTGTAGAAATACCTTTCTTACCGTGGATGGAGCGCGGTCCTTTTTTTCTTGATCGTTCAGTGGTATTTCTTTCTTCCGAGTTGAAAGTGGAAGTACCGTGAGTTCTACTTGAGGCTTTCTTTTTGTTTTCCTCGAGATCTTTTGACGTTTCCAGAGAACGATTTTCACTTCTACGACGTCTCGATAGTCTTCGCTTTCGCTTCTTTTCCAAGATTTCCGGGCTCTCGATCTCATCGTACTTGAAGGCTCCATCGGAGCGGAATTCATTGGAACCCTTTCTCAATTCCGAGGTGGTTTTATTCTCTAGAAACGAGGATCTCCGTGGTCTAATAATATCCGTGGTGGTGGCTCCGGCATCTTCCTCTGTATCATCGCTGGTGTTTATTTCCTTTCTGATTTCGTAAGACGAGGTTTTCTGACAATTCTTGGAAACGTTTGGATTCTTCGCAAAATCCCCCGAATCAACATCAAAGCTGTATCCAGAAATCTCCTCCTCGTCGTATGACACACTTACGTCTCGTTGTCTTGATTTCGTTGTTCTTTTTTGTTGTAGTGACATTCGTCCCGAATGCGACATTTTTTCTCCTGATACTAATAAAAGAAATTTTTTTTTATTATATTATTAATATTTTTCTTACTTTATTTTATCACTAGCAATAATTCGCGCGCAAAGCGCGCTGCTAACTTTTTAGGATAACATTACCAATTTTAAAAATAATAGAATTTAAATTTTTGTTGAAAACACTAAAAAAATCCAATTTTGGAAAAATTACAAATAATTGCAGAAATTCAATTATTTTCAAGAGGGATAAAATTCTTCCCCAAAGTTCCAGTGCAATAAAGCGTTATATCAGAAAATTGTGCTATATGGTGTCTATTCATTTATTTGTGTAACATAATCTCAATTCACGTTGAGTTCATTAAAGGGTAAATTTAATTTTTAATTCCAAATGACAGATCTTCAATATTTTTCATTTTTCGATAATACGATAATATTTTGTAAAAAAAAATTACAATGAATTGATAAAATTATATTGCACAATTGTTTGAATATAAGCACCATATGGACTTCTAAAAATTTAAATAACCCTTTTTTGAAATCAATGTGAATTAAGACTATGTTGGACAAACAATTGAATAGACACCATATAGCACAATTTTTGAATTAACGCTTTATTGCACTGGCGTTCGAATAAACACTATATTGACGGGGGGCGTCGAATTATTTTCAAATCAATTTCAAATTCCCTAAAATAGTACGCAAACATTTAATAATTTTCATAAATAATAAAAATTTCTCAGGAATTCAATTATTTACAAATTTTTTATAAATTCCTTCGCAATAATTCAATTATTTTTATAAATAATAAATTTTTTTTAAGGAATTCAATTATTTTCATAGAAAATAAATAAAAATTGTAAAAAATAATAATTGATTTGAAATGATGAAAATAATTTTGAAAAAGTTACTGTAATAATATTCTTATATAAAACAATGATTTTATCACTCGGTCATCTTTAATTATTATAAAACATGAAGAAATCGATCACTCCGAGTCTTCGACTCGGAGCAATCGATTTCTTCCTGTTTTTTTAAAAATATTCTTATAAATTATTGAATTTGAAATTTTTGAAATTTTTAATTCCTATATGAAAAAATAATATTGATTAAATATTTATTTAAAAAAAAAGTTATTGATGTTTACGAATAATTTTTTATTAACCCCTTGGCTGTCAACGAGATTTCCACTGTTTGGGCCAAAAGTGTGTTGAAAAAATTTTTAATGGATTTTTATGAAACTTGGTACCCTAAGGTTTCTGGGGTCGCTGATTACGAATCTGACATCAGTTTTACGAAATTCGAAATGGTGGATCCAAGATGGCGGAAATTTTTTTCAAAATTCGTCGAATTTGCTTGAAACTTGTTACTCGGGGGTTTTAAGGGTCGCTGATTACGAATCGAACATTAGTTTTCCAAAATTCAAAATGGCGAATCCAATATGCCAAACAACGAAATAAAAAATTGATCAGATTGTCTTGAAACTGAATACTTGGGGATTTTCAGGGTGGCTGATTACGAATCTGAAATCAGTTTTTCAAAATTCAAAATATCTGGTTCAATATGGCGGAAAACTTTTTAAAATTTATTGAATTTGTTTGAAGCTGGTTAATCTGACATATGTATGATAATTTTTGGTGAAATAAAATTTCGATAAATACCCTGAATAAATAATGCCAGATTCGTAATCAGCGACCCTAAAAACCCCCGAGTATTCAGTTTCAAGCCATTATAATTAATAATTTTTTATTCTGTCGTCGGCCATATTGGATCCGCCATTTTGAATTTTTGAAGACTAGTGTTAGATTCGTAATCAGCGACCCTTAAAACCCCCGAGTAACAAGTTTCAAGCAAATTCGACGAATTTTGAAAAAATTTCTGACATCCTGGATCCGCCATTTCGAATATCGAAAAACTGATGTCAGATTCGTAATCAGCGACCCTAAAAACCCCCGAGTATTTAGTTTCAAGCCATTATAATTAATTTTTTATTTTGTTGTCCGCCATAATGGAACCGCCATTTTGAATTTTGGAAGACGAATGTCATATTCGTAATCAGCGACCTCGAAAATCTCCAAGTAACCGGTTTCAGGAACATTTAAGAAGTTTTTAATCACCTTTTTTAAGTTGCGCATATATGCGTCATGAACCACTTTTGGCCAGTTTCGTTTTGCGCATATATGCGTCAGCGACAGTCAACGGGTTAAAGAAATTCGTAAATAAATGAAACAAAACATTTATTTGAGTAAAAAGCATATATTAAACAAAACCACGAATTTTAATACAAAACCTCCAATTTTTTTCTATTTCTGATAATAATTTCTTTTTAAATAAGTTAATTCTTGAACAACTGTTATTAAAATTATTTAATAAATAATTTTACTTAAATATTTTAAAATTAATTCTATTTTAAAAGAGTTGCGTTCAATATGTACTATTTTAATAAAAATTCTTAAAATTAATTCAATTCTATAAAAAAAAATTCAATAAAATTCTACGCAAACATTTAATTATTTTAATATATAATAAAAATTTTACGGGAATTCAATTATTTACAAATTTTTTAAATGATTAAATTATTAAATTAAAAATTATAAAATCATATATAATAAAACTCAACACACAATTTCAATTATTTTTATTACAATTTTAATCGAATTTCTCAAAAAATGTAATTATTCTTAAAAATTTGTTGATAAAATTCTTTATAAGAAATTAATTTTAAGAAACATTTAATTATTTAATAAACTATTTACTCTTGTATTTAAATAATTGAATTTTCGTAGAATTTTCTAATAAAAATTGATTTAAAAATTAATTTCAATTAAAAGTTTAGATAATAAATAATTAAATATTGAAAGCATTATAGGATGAATTTTTTTAAATAATTTAATTTTCAAAAGTTTTCAAATTAAAATCTTTATAAATCTGAATTTTTCATACATCTAACTAACAATTCTGTAGAATTAATATTTTTGAAAAAATTTAATTGAATTTGTTTGAAATTAATTGATAATTTTATTTTTCAATATATATTTAATTGAAGAAATTCCTAATAATCAAAATTTCACGTAAAATTTAATTGCAATAAAATGGATTTAAAAATTCGCAAAGAACTTTTTCAAAAATTATTAAAAATAAATAATTTAGAGAAGAATTTTAATTAAATTATTAAAACAGTTTATAAATTTTTGTTTTTAAAACTTTTTAGATCATTTTTTACTGTAGAAAGAATGAAAATTTGAAAAGGTTGTGAAAAAGGTTAAAACTTTCTTAAATTGATCTATTGAGTAAATGAAATGAAATTAAATAGAGTGCAATGAAGTGGAATGAAGTAAAAATAAAATAAAGTAAAATTGAATAAAATAAAATCGAATGAAATTAAATGAAAAAGAATTTGTACTTTCTAAAAAGTTTCCAAGTAAGTATTTAAGAATTAGAAATTCGTTAATTGAATTTACTTTTATTTCTGATGATGATTAGTTTAAATTATATAATTGCGTGAAAAACATTATAAAACTGGTAGTTTTCACAGTCAGTAAAAAAAATATGTTTTACATTTTATTACATTTTTTGATTTTGCAGAAGCAAAATGTCAATAACTTTTTACCTCTGGGCCGTATAAAGTTAAAAAATAGGTCTTATATTACATGCGATTTTTAGAGCTCTTTCAATAGATAAAAATGTTTAAAATTAAATGTCAATAAAATTATTTAAAAATGTCATTATTGAGTTTCTTAGGGCATGAAACAAAATGAAATGTAAAAATATCGAGTTTAAAAATTTTTGGTAACACAATTCTTCTATATGGAAGCAATAGATTTTAAAATATTAAACAAAGTACACGAATGAGCAAGACATATGGAGTTGAAATTAAATAACGAGTTAAAAATTTTTAATTGCAATAACAAATTGAAAATCAAAATAAATAATAATGAAAAATTAAAACTATAGGTTAGAAAAGTAATCAAAGAAAATGCAATGGAAATTCAATTTACAAAACTAAAAAATTGCAAATCTTTTTTTTAATGTAGTTGTATTAAAGAAGAGGTTTGCAATTTTGGAAAAAAGAAATGAAAAATAACCTCTTAGGATATGAAAACGTAGATTTAGGTCGACGGTATAATAAAACCATCACTTCAGGAGATCCGCGTCAAGAACGTTTCACGACAGCTTGCGAAGCCGACGTTGACAAAAAAGCTTCGAAGTACTATGTGTGTAGTCTGAAAAATATGTAAAATGGCACAATGGGTGAAAAGCTTCCATGCATTTGCACTTCTAAGGACTGCTTTCACGGCAATACTGACATTCTAAAGCGTCCTTAGCAACGGATACTCACGTTTGTTGTGTGGGCAACCAAGCGCGCGACCCCCATGTAACTAATATCAAAATAGACATGCGTAAATAAAAGTAAACCTTAAATAAGTACCTTTTTATCTATTCACTTTTTCAATTTTCCCAAAAGAATAAAAAAAACTCTCTATGGACAATTCTTATTTCGCGCTGAGAAAAAAGTCGCAAAAATATTCCTTTACCTTTGCAAAGATACTTCCTTTGACAGAATGAAAGAAGAAGAAAATAAAATTTCAATATATAAATGCTTCCGTTATTAACATATCTAAAAAATGTTTTACTAAAATATGAAAATTTTTTACATTTTTTGAATATGAAGAATTTTTATGTTCCTTTAAAATTTTAAAACTGAATCATTGAATTATATTATTGTCAATTTTATGTTATAATTTTTTTGCTTGTAAATTAAAGAAATTACATTAAATTAAAAGTTTTTAACTAAAAATAGACAATTTTTTTAATATATATTCAAATCAAAAATAAATAAGTTTAAATTTTAAATCAATTTTTTTAATAATTTACTAATTTTTTAAAACTACAATTTACTTAAAATAATTTATTATTCTGTTTTACTTGTCAGATTGAAGTTGTGTAACCCATTAGAAACATAACTTTATAACCATTTAAAGACAAATATGTTTCAATATATTATTTTAGAATAAAAAAAGTTTATCAGTTTATCACCTACACAATCCTTGTTTCCACATTATTTATGAGAAAATCTAATTGATACTTTCAGAGTTAAAACATTTTTCTACATTGTGGAATAAAATTTTATAAGTCAATGAGAAGAGAACTTCCTAAAGTCCTCTTACATACGAAGCCCCTGAATATATTCTCACAACGAAACTGAATGGGTTGCCATCGTACAGGAGGCAAAGTGATTGGTACCAAGAAGGACAGGAGGTAAATCTTATTCTTTCAATTAAAAATAAATTATTTAATTATTTTGAAGAATCTAACTGTGAAATGAATGAATATATAAATCTTATTATCCAGCAATTGTATTCCCTGGCGGTAAACAAAATTTCACTGTGATATCAAGGAGAAATAAATCATAAAAGTTCTTATCGATTATCACAGATGTCGTTGCTATGACAATTTTGTGACGAGCGACTGCCATCTCGCTCGTTAACTTTTCGATATATCGATTAACGAGTTATCGAAGCGCGAAACAATAAAATTTCGTTAATAATCTAATTATTTTAGGATTTTCTTACGAGTTTTGACAAATATTGACGAGACTAAACAAGAAAGTTTGACTATTGTAAAATATAATACTTCACGGTTTAATAGTTTCCAAATTCCAAAAATGTATTTGAAAATCAACATTTCTTAGAATTGTCATAAATCAAGTGGAATAGCGAAAGAAAATGTAATCTCTAGTTTCTTTAGAGTCATAAAACCGAGAAATTCTTTAAAGAATATAAAAAATATCTCAAGTGTCCTTTTCCATAGGACAATGCAACATGTGTTTACCATACTTGTGACCACAGAAATGGCTTCGAAAAGTCACGTACACATAGACTTTCATTATGCGACGAACCTTAATTATCAATTGTATAATATGAACGTTATGAATAATTAACAACAATATTATATTGTTGCTAATTGTGCAGTATGAATGTATTATTTGAAAATGATATTATTAGTAAACTTTATCTGATTTATTGTTGTAATATTATGGTATAGGATATATGCATGTATATGTATGTATATGTGTGTATGTATATGTATGCATATATATATATATATATATATATATATATATATATATATATATATATATATATATATATATATATATATATATATATATATATATATATATATATATATATATATATATATATATATATATATATATATATATATGTATATATATATATATATATATATATATATATATATATATATATATATATATATATATATATGTGCTCTCTAAATCTGAATATGTGAAAATTCACATATTTGTACGTTATAAGTCGTCTTCTCGATCAATAAGTGTATATACACTTATAATAAGTGAAATTTCACTCAGAATAAGTGAAAAATTCACTTATTTATAAGTGTATATGCACTTATTGATCGAGAGGACGACTTATAACGTACAATAAGTGAAATTTCACATATTCAGATTTAGAGAGTGTATATGTGTATGTATGTATGTATGTGTATGTATATGTATGTGTGTATATGTATGTATATGTATGTATTTGTAACGTATTAATATAATGATAATATTATATTATGATATATTATCAAATTGGTTATCGTTGTAATTGTTGTTTATATTTAAATATGATGAGTGCAGTATAAGAGATTTATTGTTACTAGATATGATGTAAATAATTAATAATTGTGTAATTAGTGTGAATGCAAAAGGGTTATGTTCACTTGTTGTGATACATGTTTTCAATACATAGAGTATGTTTATACGTGTATTAGTGCAGTGCAGTGTTAGTGTTGTGATTCTAAAAACTTCATAGACTTTACAAACTCTATAACAGGGCATGCGCAAAGATTCTGCCATGGACCAAAGGATAAATGCTCCCTCACGAATTCAGTTCTATTTTGGAGTTCTTTCGTAATGTACTTCAGAGTAGTCCCAAAAATAGCTCTAAGAATAACTTCGACTTGTGTAATGTTTTTGACTTTAATAAATGTATTGGGTTTACTCGCGAATTTAGTTGGATTAATGATTAATTAATATTATTAATTATTAATTGATCCTTCTTATTCGTGAGGTTTTTCCCTCCGTTTTAACGGAAATTAACTTGTTTTATTTGAATATTTCCGCCTTCCTTTTCAAAGGATTAAACCAAGGGTGTTTACGAGATGCTCACCCTAGGGCGCACCGAAGCGACCAAAGGTTCTCAAAGTCACTTTTATTATTCTTTATTTATATGAAAACAAACGATAATAAAAGTGACTTTGAGAACCTTTGGTCGCCTCGGGGAGCCCTAGGGCGAGCATCTCGTAAACACCCCAGGATTGAACATCAAATCAAATCGCGGAGCTTACGCCTGCGCGTAAATAACGTAACTCCGCACGTAACAATTTAAATTTGTGTTTGCAGCGCGAAGATGCAAAATAAATATCAAAATTTTAACTAGTTAAAGCAAATATGACTTTAAAGTTTAAATTAATTGTTTTATTGTCAAAATATGCAAATTATTGTGTTTTTATGAAAAAAAGGTTAATGTACACTAAGAAAACGATTTATTTGATACAAAAAAATTTTGTTTAAATCAAACTTAATCCTCTGCCTACTCATGTGGCCGTTATCGTCTAAAATTGTCTATTTGGACGCCTGGTGGGAACTATGGAAAGTACGTTGATTTTAAATTATTTATAATCAACTTTTAAGTTTGAATCAAACATAACATATTTCTAAAAATATTTTTTGTTTATACTAAAACAGAAAATATGTTCGAATTAAATATAATTATTCAAACAAATAATACTTTCAAATCAAAGCAGTAGATATTTTCTACACGGAGAGACCGAGATTACTAATTTTTGTATAAAATCACACTAGAATTTACTATTTTCACATTGCAACCACCGGAAATAAGGGGACTTTTTGTATTTTTTACTATTTTCTACACTAAGTCACTAATCCCGACAAATGTTCACCAAATTAGCAAAGTTTCTTACTATTTCGTCCAATAGTTCCAAATAACTGTAGTAAACTCAGAAGCATTGTGTACGTAAAATTACTACAGTCGTTTGTAAATGCAGAAAGAAAAAGTGAAAGAAAAAATACGGATTTTTGTCGCCGGTTTCCCGTCAATTCTTGACTAATGGAGACAAACTGGAAGGATTTTTACATACACAGACACACACACACACTTATATATTTGTTGGATAAATATTTGAAGACACACACATGTTTATTTCACTTATATGTATAGACGCGGTTAATTAATACACTAATACACAACTGCACGCACGACAACGAATTTCACTGAAAGTATACATCTTTGTTTCCTTATAATATGTTGAATGATGAAAATTTACAGCACTTACGAGAAAGCAATTTATTTTTAACAACTTATTATAAGACATAGTTCTTGGGACAGGAATAAATGCAAAGTTTATTAATTTATAAAGGTCAATTTCTGAGATACCGAACGACCTACGTTTCACGTTATATTTAATTATTGTAGATAATATCCAAATTTATTTTACATACGCGAAACATAGTCACTGTCAATGATCGGATGGCATCGGCTCATTTACGGAGATTGACGAAGTTAGCAACCAATAGAAATGCAGGCGCCATATGACTGCACTCGCTAGCCACACTTGCTCACCAAAAATTACTACAGTGGATCGTAGGTTTTAGTGGAAAATGTTTTCATTTGTCAGATTTTGTCTAATTAAATTAGAGAAAACTATAATCAATTTTTGCTACATTTACAACTCTTACACAAAATATTAAAACTTGCTATTTCAATGTGGCAAATTTATCTATTTCTTTTGTAAATTTATCTAATTCTGTTGCACATTATGCTAAAAGTCCTCTTATTTCCGGTCATTGGAACCATTTTTAGTAATTTTTACGAATGTGGGTCTCTCTGTGTATATATTAGGATTATAAGCTTACAAACTAATTTCAATCAAACAAAATCATCTAACATTATTTTTGTATTTGAATTAAGTATAATGTTTTCTCAGTGTACCAATTTGTGAACCGATTAGTATTTTTTATGAACACGCTATAATACACTCACCTTTATAAGCGCCAGCTGTTTAATCCCTTAAAGGGGGGAATAGTTAATTCGGTGAAAAAGCATGTTTTTTAGAATTTTTTTTGGCGATACGCAGAAAGTTAATTTATTTTATCGCTTTGCATATAATATTGCAACATTTGAACAATATTTCTCTGAATTTTAATTTTAAAATATTAAGAATTGAGTGAGATAATGAGATTTTCCTCAGGCGCCTCCAAAAATTTGCGGTGTACACTGAAAAAAG